GCAATCGCGCGCACGTTGTGCACTCGAAAGCAATTTGCGACTTCTTTGTTGGCAATAATTAACTAAGTACGTCGCGCGCATATCTCGTGGGCTCTCTACGCGGGGAAAACCGAGGCGATAAGCTTCATTATAATCTCTAGCGCAGTCAGCTGTTTTGCATAAATTTCACGAAAAACTGTTGTGGAGCTTTTAGTTCTAACTAATACTGATTCATCGCAATTACCTCGCGACTTCGATCGCGAGCGGAAGAACGAGCTTCTTCTTCTTTTTCTTTTTTTTTCGTTAAGCGAGCGGATTCACGACGTGACTCAGGCACGAGTCACCTAGATCCCTAGCCCTTTGGCGTAAGACTCCGTTGCAATGCATTGACTCACGTGCGTGGGCACGGTATGCGAAGCACGTACGATGCGCAATGTGAAAAACGCTCCGAGATTCGCGCGCGCTTTCTGGAATGGCATTAAATCCGGGTGTACGCTAGCGAGACGTCGATGACATCATGTTGCGCATCGTTAACCACGCCGCGGGCGATCGCAGAATGCGCGGGATTTTTCGCGAGGATATCGCCGATGCGTTTAGCCCGACAGCGTCACTAAAGTGCCAAGATTTGCGACACTAATTTCGCGGGACATGGTAGACCAGTTTCCTCCAACAAAGCGACTGTCAAAATCGAATGTGCCATTGAGGCTTATTTAGTGTCGATAGCACATTGTAAAAGACTGCGCATTTTCGCTTTTGCATAAAGAGCTGACACGCGATAGCTTTGCAATGCATGAAACTTAAAGGAAACTAATTTCAACGTGCCGCCAACATTTTCGAGCAATGCGATAAATTTTGTCCGATAATTCGAGCTCGCTGAAGTCGAAAGAAATATCGACTATTCGTTCGCGTAATTGACGTGTAATAATTGCTTGCGCCTTTAAGAGCGATAAAAACGGCCTCAATTTACACCCGAGGCGTGCAGCTCTGATAATCTCACGTGTCCTATTTTTTTTTTCTTCGAGACCGATAAATTAGGCCCATCGAATTCTTCGCTCTGCTCACGACGCCGATAGCCCACGGGACTTTTATGCATGCGTATGTCTACTGGTATGGCATATATTAGCGACGAAACGTCGTGATTAACGTCGTCTCGAAGATAGTGTCGCCTGGGGCACGGATTTATGTGAAACGCGACAACAAACCGGCCGTTTAATTGCTGATTCTCGTGCCACCGCGAGCGGCAATTTCTAGCGTGAGCTAACCTGGAAATTATATGCCACGCTTAACGGGCGCCGTGAAATTATATTAGCCTTTCGCAAAGCCACTCGTAAGCTCGCTACCTTAATCCTATCGAGAGATTACGTTCTAAAAGCACTATGAAAGTCCCACGTGCGCACGCACGTACGCCTTTCATATTATTACATGCTTCCACAGAAGCCGTCTAGCGCGACGGCACCGGTTTATTGACGCCGTTTAATCGATTTCAGTTATACCCGGCGTTAATCACCAGCCAGAAACGCGAACGACTGGACTACTCGCTGCGTGCGCCGTGAATCATGACACCGTGTATATTGGGTTGCAAGAATTAAGGCGCCACAGCTCGAGTGATTTCAATGCTGGTAAGGATTAATTCGCTACACGTCTTCCCAATTTTTATCTAAATAAGCACGATTTTTTCAGCAATTTTACTTACAATACCTATTCATTAAAAGATGTGCAAAGAATATAAGAGTAAAGACTTTTAGAATAACAACTAATATTCGCAAAAAGTGTATTACACATATACTTCTTTCGCGCGATATCATGATATTTAAAACAACTTAATCATATAATTGTCTAAGATTAGAACGACGGCGTGTTGGGTAAGTCATAGCTTAGGAAGAAAAATCTTAAGCATAAAACGATTAAGAAACGAAGAGTTAAACGAGACGCATTTGTCATCCCGTCCCATATAATTTTACGACAATTCCGCTACGCCGGGCGTCGTGGGTGTAAGCAATTTTCCAGTTCATCTACCAATTCGGCCTCAGACTCCCACGCGATCCTGACAAACGTGACTTCGGGCTTCGAGGTCTGTTCCCTTTGTGTTTGGCCAGCCAGCGTGACCGAGGTATGCGCGTTGACTTTATCTGCGCGGCGACACTCGCTCACTCGCTCTTTTATCGTCCAATTAATCCACACGCACAAAACAATTGGCACACCGATATGCTTCCTATAAAAATACGTAAACGTCACACTGATAAAAATTGCGGTCACGCCACCCAGATATAATCTCGATTCGATCTTGATCAAAATACAATATTAGAATCGAGGGCGTATCGATTACCTAAGATTAATCCACGTGCGATCAATCACTTCAGATTGTACAACTGGCTGCAAGAAACCATAAAACATTCCGTGTAGTATTGAAAGTTAAAATTTTAAATAATAAACTTTCAAGTAAGACCCCTATCTAAAACTAATTGGCGTGTTCTCATATGTTGTTTAGTTAAAATTTAAAATAATTGACGAGTTAACATATTCTACGAAATAGAGTCATGTGATCAGGCAATTTCTTTAAAAGGTACAATCTGAAGTATAATTTTAACAGTGCTCGGAATAAAGTGAAAAAAATCTCATTATGTATGTCTCAATTATATAAGATCCAATTAAATGTTATGAGATCCAATTCTAAAATTCAGCAGATCTTCAGAGATTCGATATCTCTTTTGAATGTTCGAGATTATCTATTGAGATCTAGCTAAATCCAATTAAATGTCCTATTAAGACATTTAATTAGATTTCCACAGATATAACTTCGAATATTGAAGGTTTCAGATCTCTGAAAATCTGATGATTTTAGAATTGGATATAGGATAAAGGCATCTAATATCGCATACCAAAATTCAAATCATTCTCACTTAAAGAGTAATTGACATTTTTGTCTGTATTTAGTTTCAAATGAAAGAAGAAACATTTGTGTTTTATGTACAATATGTTAGAATCTAAAACATTTTAATCCACATTGAAAAGAAACAAAAATCGAGGGTTTGAAAAACTGGCACCTAATATCGCCTACCTTATAAATTTTTATAAAATCACTGTTTATCAATATGAGTTTATGAAACTATAAATATTTATTATTTTACATCATATAAACGTTTATAGGTGTCCAACAAATATTTTAATTTGTGATTATACTTAAACAATATTTTTATCTACATTAAAAAAATGTTAGAACTTACGTTCTCGCTATGGGATGTCGAACTTGCACTCTCTGCTAAGTTCTTCAGCATTCAAAATTTGTTTAATGCGTCCTCTAAGTCAGACGTTATTTCTGTAACGTTGTAACTACAATATGTTTTCTTACACAAGTTTAGCTATTAATTCTATGTATTGCCGATTGATATCAACACTGTTCACGAGATTCACGAGTGGCGATATTACGTTCTGGGTGATATTAGGTGCTTTTACCCTAATTAAATATTACATGATTGAAACATGTATAATGAGATATTTTCTTTTTATGTGCTTTCGATTTTTATGTAAAATAGTACACATATATCATATAATATATAACAATCAGATTGTTATTCAGAGAAATAATGATTCGTGCATCTAATAAAAAGAATGAAAAAATATATAACAAAATATAATATAAATTTAAATGACAATTTGTAACAAAATTGAATTCCAAAGTTTCCGGAATAACTAAAAAGATATATGAGAAAAGAAACACTGTCAGCCGAAAGGCATATTTTTCTTATTGAAATGTACAATTTCTCTCGGTCTTGTCCGTGCGCACACGCGCAAAATGTGTGTTGTTTTAACAACGCAACTACCCTTTAATCATTGTTGTTTGCGATCGCATTTCACGCATGTCTCGATAACCTTAGAATGAATCGACTCCTACGACTTTGCCTTTCGCGAAAGAAAAAGAAACAATCCGTTTGAGAGGGAGTGCGCATATACCGATGAAAATTTTAGACTTAAACAGCGACGAATAGCTTATGCCCGACAGCGTGGCTGCAAAATATTTTCATAGCCCGTAACGTGACGTATCGATGTCTTGGCCCCGGAAATTGACGGCTGCGTTTTGCGCGCGGTACAACAACTTTGCAAGATTTATTAATCCGCTTTAGCCCACAGGCGTGCACACCTATTCACGGAGATTTGCTAGTGTAGTCGAGCGAGTTGTTTATGTGAGAGCGTAACGCACAGCGGCGACAATTTTTATCCTCGGCCCGCCTCGATGTCTCCGGCGCGATGTCCGCGTCTACAGCTTGCGCGGATCTCGATAATTTTCTAGAATCTAGAGCGCGATCGTAAATCAGATTGATGTAATTCCATGGGAAAAGCAAGCCAGAATCGAGAATAGGCGACCGAAAGCGGCCACGATTTGTCCACGATGCCTAATTACAGGCGGAACGACGATCGCACGAAGCGATGCTTATAGGCACAGCTAATTTAAATGATTGAGACGGCGTAATCGTCGCGTTCTCAACAGCGCACGGCGGTAGAAGATGATCCATCGCTATTTTTATATGTTCGCCATGTTCATCACATGGGCAACTAGTGATTATTCTATTATACGGTGATTTATGTTGCATGTCGGGTTTACCATATCACGCGAGTTTGAAGGAGGCGAATTCCATCGCGAAACAATCGTGGGAAACCTAATTTGATGTTTTTGCGCGCCATAAGCATAAAAAAACATTACTATAAAAATAATAAAATTTTAAAAATCGCTTTTTTTAATAGGAAAGAATTGCCGGAATGCGTACTAGTCACATAATGCGTAACCCATCAATATGTCATTTTATTATTTAATATAAGTAACATTTAGTGATAATAATATGAAATAAATGAGAAATAAGTAATATAGCCAAAAAATTACATCTTATTTTGTGTATGCTAACATTTAAAAAATTCAGGTATAACTGATGTTAATTTTTCATCAATTTAAATAGTTGATTATAAGGCAACTAAGTCATTTTATAAACAAATTTTTATTTTTTCATAAAAGAAGTTTTATTGTAGAATATTTTACATTTGTTGTATATACATATTTACAACTATTATAAGAATTAAATAAATATTTTCACAAAATCCATCAAGTTTCCTAAATCGACTACCATAAGATTTTCTATCTCGTACCGGCGCGATTTTATAAACAATAAACGATATCTATTGTATAAGAGTAATACAATTAATATAAATATAAATATATATTGCAAAATTAACTTTAAGCTAAGTGTATTTTAACGTCCTTTCCATTATTGTTAATTATTACTTTCAAATGATTAAATATTTGCCCTTTTTTTAGATAAGTTATTAATAAAATAAGTATTAGTTAATACTTTCTTATATCAATCTTATGCTATTTACTCTACTTTTTATTATTTTCACTCATAAATTTGACTATTTCAAGGAGGTTTTGCAACCGGTTTCTTAAATTATACCTTTTGCAACATGTTACAAAAGGACTTTACAACAAATTAATTTGTTATTAGGGAAACGTTAAACATGTAAATGAAACGTGAAACTACAATTTCCAACGATTGTATGCGTACAAATTGGTACCAAGTGACAGTATAATAAATAATACCTTAAGTGGTACGCATTCGGCAACTCTCCCCTATATACAAATTAAAAGTCTTATAATTTCTTTTTCTATCAAAGGTGAAAATATAGCGGAAAATGAAATGTAACTAAAGCATCCTTTTAGTTCATACTCTATTGCGATATTCCATTAACTTATTACTACGTGGCTTGAACTCGTGCTCTCTCGAAACGGATAACATCGCGGAATACATGACGGTTCAAAGTACAGAGCAATTGAAACAGGGTTATCGTACAGCTCGCGCAACAACGGGGTACCTTAGCCGTATCTGAAACAATGCAGGTATTCGATTCGATTACGATTCAACAGTTCATCTCCCATTCCCGCCTACAGGAAGCGCATCGGAGAGGAGGCGGTTTGAAATTGCCAGCTGCGGCTTTGGATTTATAAAGGACCGGCCGGCAGAGTCGAGACCGATCCGATCTTGTCGATTCCCCGAGCTCCGGTTTGCGCGAGTGTGTGTCAATCGCGTCGCTGCGCTCCTAGCACATCGTTCCTCGGCCGAGCGGGAGCCTGCCGCTGCTCGGTTCCCATGAAGTTGCTGACGGCATCCGGCGGCGGCCTGCATCTCATTGGTATTCCGGGCAACTCCCGATGGCAGGAGTGCTCTATTTTACGAGCGGCTGTATATGATCTCGACAAATTGGCCTTTGCCAGATTTCAGCGTGAAAAAAGAACGGGTGGTGCGTCGTAGCGGGCCGCTGATAGTAACGACGAGCCAGCAGCAGCCTTCGCCTCGTTTCAACCACGCATATTTACAAGTTCATAATTCGTACCTCGGGCCGGAAATTGCCTCCGCACGTCCGACGCGCGGTGCAGGTCGAACGCGTCCGTTATTCCCGAAAGCAAAGTTCCCTGTAAAGTCCATAAAAATTCGGGAGTTAATGATAAAGCTCCAAGTCGCGCCGGCGCGGCGCGGGCGCGAGATGAAGTTGTGAGACGTCGGTCTAAATTATTCCTCGCGGATAATTAGATGGGCAAGGCAGCCCGCGCGAGGGACCATTATCGTCGCGCCGCGCATTTTTCTCAGCACCTAAGCAGGCGCTCACTCTCGTCAAATCCCTACAGTCATACATCAGTGTTACGAGAGACTGATCGTCGGAACGGGAGCCGACCGGGCCACAAACGCGCCGGCTTATTTCGACAGAGTCATTCCGCACGCAACACTGTGTTCTATTCCACCATGGCGTAGGTAATCAGAGCGCTTAATTATCGGAGTCGTTTCGTATACAAGGTGCGCTGTCCATCGCCAGGCTGCGTCCACATACAGCATTCCCGAAGATCAACGAGACTACGACAAAGAAAAGGGCGGCTCGGCCCCGCGGACAAACGAGCCACGATACAACGGGGAGAGGAGAGCAGAGAGAGAGAGAAAAAGAAAAGGAAGAAGTCGATAAGAGGGGGCGGCCGCGGCCGAATGAAGTGGCTCTAGGCTAATTGGCTTCCGTTGCTTTTTCATAGGCTGCTGCTTTTCCCATAAATTAACTTTACGCGACGCTTTAATTAAACTACCGTAGGTCGTGCCCCCGAAATATTTCAGATAGAAACGAAAGAGAACGACCGTCTTCGCTGGCATACCCTCTATATTACCATCAATTTATTACAGATACCACGGTAGTCGGGAGCCGTCGGACCTCGATTTTGACAAGATCCAAGCGTCTCTCGCGAGCTCAATAGTGGCAACACGGTCACACGCTAACGTGCGTAAATGGTAGTTGATTTAAAATCGGAGGAGCGTCACATATTTTCTTTAGTTTAAAGCTTTAAATTGACAATATTAAGGGCCGGTTTTTCCAACCTCTTGGTAAACTAATTAATAGTTAAATTATACAGGGAGTTATGTAATACCCGCCTCGCCTCTTATTTACGGATAGAGCGGACTAGACTGGGACCAAAAGTCCTGTACCATTTTGCAACTTTCGCAATAGTTATCGAGTTATTAATTACTAAAAATCGCTGCCCGGCCTACCGCTCGATTCAAGCTCGCGGCGAGATGCGGCCGTCCCGCGATTGGCATTGCTAGGCGCGCGGGGAATTGTTTATGACGCACAGCGCAAGGGCCACATATATTAAACAACTCCCCGCGCGCCTAGCAACGCTGATTGCGGGACGGCTGCATCTCAGCGCGCTTTAATTGGGTGGTAGGCCGGGCTAAGATAGCGATTTGTAATAATTAATAACTCGTTAACTACTGCGAAAATCGCAAAATGATAGAGGACTTTTCGACGCAGTTTAGTCCGCTCTATCCGTAAATAAGAGGTGAGGCGGGTATTACGTTACACCCTGTATACTTATCTTTTTCTAAAAACAAATAAAGACATACATATGATTTAACTATTAGTTAACTTATCAAGAGGTTGAAACAACCGGCCCTAAATAAGACAACCTTTCTTCACCGTCGTTGGTTACAGACTGCTATAATTACAATCCAATGTTTTGCGAAAATAGTGAGAATATACGCAATAGATCATACTCTAATACAAATCGCTTACACGTAAAAAGTTAAAATTTCATTAAATATTTCTTCATTTAATTTCGAATAATTCGAGCGTATTTCGGTGAGTTGAATGCATATTTTATGAATGAGTTGAACGATCCCACGTGTCGGGACGAATGAATATTCAACGTGTGATAACTCTATCTCGAGTGAACAAGTAAGCTGAGATTCCTCTCAGTCGTACGAGGCGCCTCATTTGACTCGGGCGATCGTGTCAGCTGGCGTTCGCACGAGCGTTCAATACCGAAGGACCACGTATAGAATTCCCCATCGTATGCCAAATTATCACCAACCTGGCTACTTTGGCCGTCCGCTGTATCGGGTTCCACGCTACTGGTATACACCGAGGTCATTCGATCTCTCGTTGCCTCACCAATCCGGCCACCTGTCATCGGCGCACGTTTAATCTGACTAATGGGCCGCGAGGCGCAGATATATTATAAAACCCACTTTATCAGTCGTGCTTAAAGCAAGTTATTCGATCGCTGTTTAGTAAATATAAAATACATTGTCTCAGTTGTAATATTATATCTTACAGACTTTGTCGAATATTTGTTTCATTTCTTTCGCGTCTTATCACACACACACACAAGCGCGACAAAGAGGAAATCTTTTCGTTCTCAATAACGTCGACGACAAATGTCGAAAAAGTGATTGACTTATCAGCGAAAACCTGGGATCCTTCGACTCCTCCGCAAACAAGATTTTGGCGGCACGACGCAGGAACCCGTGCTCTCCAATGCTGTCACGAGGTGGTATTTTAACGATCTAAGGACACGTCCGTGGTTGACATTTTCTGCTTCGTTCTCAGAGTAATGACTCTCGACTCTCGGTTGCTCCTGTCAGATAGGTAGGGCCCATCCCGCTACCTTAATTGGTCCTCATGTTGGTCCATTATCACAATTTTGGTAGCGGTCAATAGTTGAAGAATTTCTCTCTCTCTCTCTCTCTCTCTCTCTCTCTCTCATCTTTTTCTTTTTTTAAAAATCTTTTACCTTCCTCGGTGTCGCGCTTCAGTTTTTTTCTTAATGTATTGCGAACCACTTAATTATCGCAATACATATAAGCACGGAAGTTGCGGAAGTAGGGTGATTAAATTCAGATCAGATAGAAATACGGATAAAAAATTTGATAAATCGCCAATAAGCGACATTTTCAATTAATTTATTTAAATTTTGCTCTTTTATATATAAAAAGCATCGACGTGTTCTGTTTTCTACTCAACTACGGAAGAAAGTAAAACGCATAAACAACAGCAAATGTGACGGCTCTGTCGAAACGTCTTTTTAAGGTACGTAAGGTACAAAACTTTGCTAGTTTTAAAAATTTGAGAAACAACAAAATCTTAAAGAATTAAAACATCTGCTTACTTGTAGAACATTACAAAAATTAACAAAAGTATTCCAATTCTAACATTTTCACGGTGACTTTTAAATTTACGTAGAATTTCTTAGATTCTGGCAGTTATATTTTATAGTTTTGTAGAATTTTGTAGGATTATCTCCGGCAGAGTCGCGAGAGCACATTTAACTTTGAAAACTATTCAAAGATCGGATATGTAAAAAATCATACTAGTAACAATTATCGTTTACTATAGTCTATAATTTACAGACTCCAACGATATCGTTTATTATGAAAACACGAAGCATATCATTTCTGAATTTTTAGAAGATGTATAATATGTAAAGTATATATGTATAAAATGTATAGAAACCAATACGATATATTGAGATATACGAAAACACCTCGGAGGGTTTCTAGTACCGAGCAGATAAAATTTTTGATTAACCCTTTCGCGCACCGGATATGTACGAAGAACTATTAAAGGGTAACGGCTTCTCCGGCGATATCCTATCTCTACTGTATGGTAGCACAGTAGTGCCTTTCCCTTATCTAAGCCTAGATCCGACACAGCTGCTCCTCTCCTCTCTCTAGTGCCCTCCGGGCATCGTTTGATCCTCGCATGGATCCTCCCGCCGACACAAGACTCTCAAACGATTTAACGGACTCGTTCTGTCATATCTTAACCCCCTCGGCAGTCTTGAATCTTACGGATTCGGATAAATCTCTACGATCCTCTTCGACGAGGGCTCTTGCATCGACTAATCTCTCTAGTATTAGTTAAATAGCTTTTTCATGTTATTTCCATCGTGTCGGCGTTGACTTACTAATTTCTGGGCATTCCAGTCCCCAGAAATTCCCGTCACTCTTGCCACGTTCGGTTACACAAATACACCGCACACTTGGCGCCAACCCGTTGAAAAGTATTAATACGCGTACGCTTTGTATTTTATCGTGGATATTAATCAGGAAAGCCCGCGTCGAAATACTTACAAATAACTTCTCGTTAAATCGAAAGGACGCGCGTAAATAACGCGCCTCCGCGCCTCCTGCGTGCCTGAGAGTACATTGCGTGCGTCCATTGTATCAACTAAAGAGACCGGTTCTTTTTTCTATCGATCTTAAACAAGAATACAAGAACGCGCACTTTGCAAACGAAGGACAGCATTGCAATATTCTCTCGGAAATCTAAACGGATATCTATTACGAATGTCGTATTACTGTAACATGTACGGGCGATCGACGTCCAGAGCGACGCGACGCGGTACCGGGCTTAATATTACGGGCACGCTCGCGCGCAAATACAATGACTGGGCGCAAAAAGGCCCAGGTGATGCCCAACGTCGAACGGAGCGGCGAGCGAATGACGGCGGAAGGGTAGTCAGCGAGGGAAGGGTCTGATCACGGTGATCACGGCGTGTAAGATTGTACCAGTTTTTCTACGGGCTATTGATACCGTGCAGGCTGCTCCCTCGGGTCTCCTCTCCCCTGTCCTCCCCCTGTATATGCATGAGTCCGCGAATTTCTTACGCGGTCGCACGCCCGTTCGTAAAACGAATCGCCGGCTACGCGTACAGCTTTATGCGCGCTTTTCGTCAAGCGAAAAGAAACGGGGAGAAAAAATGCAATGTTAAATCGATCTCTGCGAATGGAACAGTATTCAAGCATATTCGCATGCGATCGACGTTCACGGAAAGGATCGTTTATGGAAAATTGTCAGGGCGTACATTTTGTTACCGTCCATCATTGTATGCCCCGATAAGAAAGTGTCTCAAAGATTGTGCAATAATTGCATCGTCCAAAAGGTAAAAATTCCACAATGCTCGCATTAAGGCAGTTGTTTCGCGACAGTGATGCTCAAAAGTTTGCAAAGATGCCCAAAAATTAATAAATTCAATTTAGGGGATAAACCATGCGCAATTATTTCGGCATTTAAAGGTAAAATCGCCCGGCAACACAGTTACATACTAATAAACGTTTAAAAAAGATTTAGTGTGAAACGTGTTTACCGCCTGGG